GGACTTCTGCAGTGCGGCACTCGGACCTCGTCGTCAGAGAGAAGGCACGCGGTCCAGATGAAGGTTGCACCGCTCCGGGCTGCTGCTGAAGTCGTCTGGGATCATCTCCGGACTGTGGCCGTGCTCATCTGTGCTCTCTGGAGACTCGTAGGGATAGTTTTCACCAATCTCCTCGTCCTCCTGCTCCTCTTTGATACTAGTGCAGCAAACATGCAAGAAAAAAAAACCATGATCAGAGATACAGTAAATATAATTTGACATGAATACACTGAATGGGTTCCAGTGCTGAGGGGGGTCAGTTGGTAGAGCTGTTGCTTCTCAGAGAGGTTTGCATGTTCTCTCCGTGCATGTATGGGTTTTCTCCGGGTTCTCCAGTTTCCTCCCACAGACCAAAAACATGCATGTTAGACTGATTGGTAACTCTAAATTGTCTCTAAGTGTGAGTGAGAGAGTGAATGGTTGTTTGTCTCGTTTGTCTCGATGTGTCTCTGTGATGGACTGGAGACCTGTCCAGGGTGTCCTCCACCTCTCACACAGTGACTGCTGGATATGAGCACCAGTGACTCCCGTGACGAACAGACAGGTGGGCGGGCGGATGGATGGATGCAGGAGTGGATGCATGGACGGGTGCATAGGTGGATGGATGGGTCCCAGTGCTAAACCTGGGTCACGTGGCATCGGCTCTTTGTGGTTCCAACAACATGTTGGTGCTAATTCTGAACCGTCTTTGCTGAGCCAGACCAAAAAAACTTTAGTCAGGAGCTGAAGGCGGGTTCACTGAGACCAACAACCAATCACATTGTTTGTTGGTAACATAAGTAAAAATAACAGGGGGGGGGGGGGGTTTAACCTGCAGTCATATTGCACTGAGCAGCAGGTCAGAGCACAGCGCTGCCTTCACCATCACTGTTTTCAGACGAGTTCATGAACGTTGCTTGAAGCAGATTTAAGGAGGTATCTGACCGAGCTGCAACTAGTTGGTGAACAGCATCTATGAGGGACTCTCCAGAACATCTCGCGATGGTTTTCAACTTTATCACATGAGCTACAGCGGCTCGCGCTCCTGTCCCAGGGTCGTCGTGGGCGTTTTTGGCACCTGGATGGGAGCTCTCCTCAGACAGGAAACATTCATGGTCTAACATCCACACTGATGATGACTACTGAGACACTGGGCCAAATCTGCCTGTGTTCCTGTGAGTGCAGTGTGGGCAGAGGTGGACAACAAAATAATGTGCACAGCCAAGAGTGAGGACATGCAAACTGCAAACACTAATATAATGGTCATTTCAATGTGGCTCTTTAGAACAGCCTCGTGGTTCGCTCGTCACTTTGTGGGAGACGCTTTGAATTTATGAGACTGCAACAAAAAAACTGGTAATTCGGACCCATGAACTTGCCTCCTGGCAGATGCCACCCAGTGAGACACCATCTTAATTATTTTTTTAATCTCCCCAGTTGGTGTTTTAAGAGTTTCTCCTACTGAAAAGCTGTGTGTAATTTCTGTTTGCAGCAACAATTTTAAATCCAACCAGGAAACGGAAACGAGCCAATCAAAAACATCGACAGTTGTTGAAAACAGATTTATAAAAACCTTTGCTGACATCAAGACATCTGTTTGCAAAAAGAGCGGCACAAACCCTGCAATGTGTCTCTTAGCACCGTGATCCTGTACAGAAACTAAGATGTGGCTCCCAGTTGGTTCTCTGGCTGTGGAAAACCAAACTGGTTCTTACTTTTTTTTTTTTTTTAAGAACCAGCTTTAGCCCCAGTCCTGGTCTAGCTCTGGAACGTGTTCGGTGTAAAAACCTTAAGAGAGGTCAGTAGATGCTTACAAAGCTTGAGGGGGGGACTGTGTTGCACTGCTGTCACTTTGGTATCCAGACCCGTTAGCCAGAGCTCCGTTCATCTGCTCCTGCAGAATGTGAGGCAGGGAGTGCAGGGGGATGCTGCCCATCGAGGCTGGGTTGAACACAGAGTCCAGACCAATACTCTGGGAAGAAAAAAATAAAAGCGACATTCTTTACTTTTATATTTATACCTGAGCAGTCAGCTTTGTCTTCCCACAGCTTCACAAATGACAGAGATGGAGAAATAAAGCTGAAAGCGTTACCTGCAGAGCAGAGCCAGCTAAGCTCTGGCGGTTCTGAGAGTTTTTCAGCAGAGATCTGTTCACACAGAAACACAACTTCAAGTTACGCCTCATACTGTTTTTTTACACCTGAATGGCAAAAACCAATGCATTTTTATATCCCAGTACGCTTCATATAAAAGAACACAATCTGATATTTGTCAGGCCCTGAACCTTTAACAGCAGTCTGGAAATATTCAAACATATTAAGAGTTTAGTGATGGTTCTTTTACAACATATTTTAAACCGATAATCACAGAAGAGTGATGACTTTTGAGAACATTCAATTAACCATTAAACAGTTGTCATAAAGTAAAACAGCATCTAGAAGCCTAAACTATTTGTGTGAAAATAAACATGCTGAACAGTTTATAGTTTTAGATGTGCAATGAATCTATGTGCTGAGCAACATGATCTTAAATATTAACTATTTATTCTAATACCATAGTGCCTGGCTATTCGACTAAACTGCTCAGGGGGCCACAGTTTCTGAAAGCCAACAGCTCGGGAGCCGGACATCCAGCGATTAAAGTCATTTTGTAAATAAACCAAAGTTTACAATGATCTGTTACCTTTTAAATGTGTTTATTTTATTGCTTTGAATCATAAAAGCAATAAACAGAACCCAAAACAAACCCAGAACGCAAAAAAAAAGTATGAAGTGGGCCGGATTGAAGTCACCCATGGGCCGGAAATGGCCCGCGGGTTGCCAGTTGAATAGCCCTGCCATAGTGCAACACATCAAAGGTGTGAAATAAAAGTAAATAACTTATTTTTAAGTTGGATTCAAATTCATTTAAACCATTTATGCTTTGTTACCCTCCAGGGGGTTGTTAGGTTAAAGCACCCGGTGAGTAAAAACAAAAAAACAGCCTTAAATGCAATAATTCAACAAGAATGGAAAAAAGGAAGCTTATCCTAAAATGATCAAAACAAGATGATCTTGTTTTAAATCTCATGCATGAAAGGTGGTAGGTGACATCAAGGAATCCTGGGCCTTTAACTTATTTAGGAACAAGTATATGATGGCTGTGTTTTCATATTTTGCTCTGGAAACTACAACAGACTCTTGACTTTGTTCAAAGTTGAACCTGATGATTTATTTAGCGGACGTCAACAGCGACCCGCCCTGCGCCTGCTCCATCTGAGAGAAATTAACTGTAAATCTTTCATGTTCTCTCAGCTTTTCAATCATATCACTGTCGTCACGTTTGAAAATGTCTAGACGACCTTCGATGTCCTGCATTTTATCGTGCAAACACAACAAGCACTCCACAATAAGCCCACGCTCCCAGTCTTTAAACTCCCAACTCTTGCTTACAGTAAACACCGTGTGTACTTGTGAGCGACAAGGTCAAGTACTTTGATGCGGAGCAGCTGACTTCTAGTAAGGTCTGAAAGAACGCCATGTTCTGCCTCCAATGTCCAACGTGTACGTACCCGTTCCCGGCAGCTTTCTGCGGCCGCCGTCTGTGAAACTCGATCTCGTCTACGGTCCACACGGCTCCTTTCACGTTCTCCAGACGCACGAAACATTTGTGCAGACTCAGATTGTGTCTGACGGCGTTCTGGAAGAGTCAAGGCACAAATTCCAGCTGAGCGTGTTGTGTCTCCTCAGCTCTATGATTCACGTGTTTGTATTCGTACCTTCCATGTAGCTGCATTGCGCCTAAAATATGCAAAGTTTCTAGTGAACCAGTTGTAGATTTCGTTTAACGTCAGCTGATTGCGAGGAGATTCAAAAATAGCCTGAAAGAGATGAAGGAAAAGGTAAAGGATGCAGATTCAAAATAAATTATTTGTTTGATTTTAATTGATATGAATGGAAAAAAAACTGTAAATGTATGCGCTTTATTTTGTTTTTAGGTTCAAGGGTTTTTTTGTCATTCGCATCACATGTGGTACATGAGGTGGAACAATATGTACACAAGTTCCCAGTTACACCCAAAAATATAAAATATAGAAAAACAAACAGTATACAAGGATCTAAGACAGAGCTATTCAACTGGTGGCCCGGGGGCCAAATCAGGCCCACAGGTGAGCTCAGTTCAGTCCACCAATGGGTTCATTTGTAAATAAAACTAGATTTTAAACCATAAAACAAACTTACTTAATGACAAGAACTGTTTGATGTCTGGCCCTTGAGCTCTTGGCTTTAAGTAACTGTGGTCCCCTGAGCAGTTTTGTTTAATAGCCCTGATCTAAGACATATGCTAAATGAATGCTAAATGCTAAATGGACTGTACTTATATAGCCTTTCTATCTTATCAAGATACTCAAAGCACTTTACAACAATATGTGCCTCATTTACCCATTCATACAGCACTCTACTAGATCTCTACAAAGCTAATTGAACAAATCATTCAAACGATTTGAATGATATGCTAAAATCTAAGATATACGCTAAACACTAATAATGTAAAATCATATGTTTATTAAACAGTAGCCCGAACATGAGTCTGTGGTGAGCAGATGGGTATGAATACAACAGGTGCTTCTGTATCTGGGTAATCAAATGTTTAAAAAGCATACGTTACCTGTCTTATGAGAGATGCATACGTGAAAGGAGGTCTAACTTCTGTGCTCAAGTAGAACTCCTTATTATCAATTATATCTGCAGACAGACATGATGCAAGTTTTGCACAACATCTTCACAATGTGCACGGACAATAACAAATTATAAGAATATAAAAAGTTACATCCAGGATCCAGTCATCGGTACCTTGGCTCACAGAGCGGCTGTATCGTCTCCGTACGGGGGTTCCAGTGAACATGCTATTGGGAGTGAGGACTGAGGGGGACTCGGAGAGTGGGGTCAAGGGTGTGGACGGTGCTGTGGCACTCTGGGAAAGGCTCATCGGGGGAGGGCCTTTAGCCAGTGTTCCAGGGGAGAAAGTTAAATTGGATGCCAGGTTCACCTGGAGGAAAAGAACAGCCACGTTGTAAAAGTGTCATTATTTAAAACTAGAAACAAAATAATTTTTTCACATGAAAGGGAATCCCCGCAGCGAGTCCTTACAGGCTGTACTGCAGGTTTGGGTTCAGAGGACTTCAGATGGGCCATCATGGCTTGCAGACGCTCTTTGTCTTTCTTCAGCTGTGTTGGAAGACCAAAATAGAAGGTGAGGTTGGTGAATTCACACTTCTTCGTTACATGACGCTCTGCGTGACATCTTCAGGGTTGTAATTATCTGAAGTCATCACTTCGAGTGTGAAAACACACCAGAGCTCCAAAAACGTCCACAATTACTTTGAGCAAGCTGCAGTTGTTCCAGCTGGCAGTTCAAAAAGAAGACTTGGTTTAACGTCAGCCAGCTGTTGTTCCTTGTATTGTTTTACCTGCAGTTCCAGCTGCTGAACAACTTGCATCTGTACGCGGCACTGTGCTGTACTCTTGTCATCAAGTGTATGGTCACTGTTCAAATGTCTGCAGACAAACGTACAAAAGAAAAGAATGAAAAAAAAAAGGCATTCATAATGTAAAAGCACAAGCAACAGACATTAATTTAGCACTTGATAAATGAGCCTAATAGTTAGAAATACAAAGTATTTTACAGCTAAATGCTTAAAATAAAATGTTACTCGCTTGAGGAATGCCTGAAAGTCTCCAAAAACCGTCTCACAGCCGGGCCATTTACACATGCCGTTTCCATACAGAGGATGGCTGTTCTGTGAGTTTTCATCCAGCGAGCCACTGAAAAACACACAACAGTCAGTTATTAAATAAAACTTTCAAGAACAACGTGTTATTATAAAAAGAGCCGAATGGAAGACAGAAGAGGGTAAATGTTAAACCTTTCTTTTCTCTTCAAAAGAGTGTGGTGACCGTTGGTGGCGGACTGACTGGAAGACTCTCTGCTGTCTCCAGACGAGAGGACGCTGCCATTCTCACAGCCTTAAATCACACAGACGCACATACATGGTTTTATTGTTACTGTGGGCAAAGCAGCAGATTCTGTCCAGTAAAGGACATAAACACATCAGTAGCCCCCTCTATGAATGTTGATATTTAAGGCAGGTCCAGCCAGAGGTCATAAGGCATCAGGTACAGTTCACTCGCGACCTCTACTATCTTGTTATAGTGTCTTGATTTTGAGCTTTTTAAGTTTCAGTAATAATTCTGTGTCCTTCCTGAGCTCAGGTTGAAACGGCTCAATCAAAAAAAACCTGCACAGAAAGTAAAAACGATCTGACAGGAAACCTTTTGAGTTCCTTTTTGTTCTGGGAGTAAAGAATTTTGGGGAGTTTTCGGATCCAAGTGGTCAAATGTATTTATAAAGCAGCTGTTACTAACGTGCTTAACAATAAGATCAAGGCAGTAATTCAGGAAAACAACAATAAGATGTCATTAAAAGCATCAAAAATAAAAACACAAAAACTATGAGGAACAATGAAATACTCAATCAAATCACAATCCAGTAAAAACATTTGATTGTTTCATTAAAACTAATAAATATATACACAATAATAAAAGAATAAAGCTGAAGTGGAGTCAGCTAATTTCAATTATGTTTCTAGTAACCACAAAAATTATCCACTACTTTTTAAGAATCAGAAATGATTACAGTAGTAATATTAAATTAATGCTATGTTAACATAAATTTCAATCCATGTAGATTTCTTCTCATAAAGGACATCTAATGTAGATTAAACCTGCTGTGTCAGCAAGTCTTTTATTGGTAGTTCACTGCTCTTGGAGGCCTCCTGCAGGCCTGGAGGACCTAAATAATTCTTATACTTCTTCATGCCTGCTTTGTAAAGTAAATCTTTAGCACCTTTAAATAATGTCCCCGATGTGAATATGAACGTTTGTAGCTTTCGAGGCGAGGGTTTTTCTGGACTGGAATTGAACAGGGAATGTGAATACATCCTAATGTTTTTGGTGCAAGATATTCAAGTGGGTAGGAGTTACACTGTGTAGAAGAATAAAAGTTGTTTTTTTCTTGTCCGTGGAGGCGCAGAGTGATGGATCCTGGTGAGTGGAGGGCACAGTTTTATCCACCACCAGGTGCAATGGTGGAGCCACTGTTTACTCAAAGTGTAAACCCTGGTGAAGTATCGGGGCTGCCGTGTTGCTCAAATAGTCTATAGAGTACTCAACACTAGAGATGCTTTTCAGCTGTAAAAAACCCTCAAAAACCCTTTTTCACAATAATTTCCACAGGTTGTGGCATTAAAAAAAAATGTACCCAGAAAGCAACCCCAGTAGAATAAACACTCCGAGTTGAATATTATACTCTTTCTTGCCATGAACAGACTTTTCCAGTTTCACTGATTGTGGAGCCCACTCAGCCATCAGAGTTTGTGGTGCGCGCTGTGCCTCCCCAGCTGGTGAAGGCAGCCGTGAACAGCTTTGCCTCTTAAATTTTATGATAGCATCAAGGGTGGACTTAGTTCTTCCTCACAGCTTTTCCTTTTTGACTTTTAGTTTAATAAATACTGGTGCGGTGGAATTTGTTGTGTGCACCTGAGGTTGAAGTTGAATATTAGAACGTGGAAAGGATTTTTTCAGCTTCTCCCTTCTGCAGGGGCCGCCACAGCGAGTGAACACGCATAGACAACGTGGTAATTGTTGCATGGTGGCTTCGCTTACAGACAACCTTGGCTCAAACCTGCAGCCTCAGGAATATGAGACCAAAGCACTGACCACCAAGCTACTGCGGCACAAAAACCTGGTAACGATTAAATCATTTTTAAAGTTCTAGTACGTGAAACCAAAAAAAAAAACATTGAAAAAGGGTGAACTTTTTGTTTCTCGACTGTGCGTTCTACTTATAAAGAAAAATGTGAACTACTCCTGTAATAACATACAAGTCAGTGCATACCTGGAGCTACGGTGGGGCTGGTAGGAAGCACAGACAGCAGGCCTTGCCTCTGCAGGTTGAGCAGATGTTGCTGCTGCACCTGAAGGAGCTGCTGCTGAATGGCGATCTGCTGGGCTGTCAGCTGCAAGCAAAGACCACACAGTTAACTGTGTAAGACACTTTTCATTGCCGTCACATTTTCTGTAGAAAAAAAACAACAATGAAATCAACAACAAAATCCAGCATTTTCTGAACCTTCCACCTGCGTGCGTGATGTGTAGTTTTCATTTAATAATCAAATCGATTCACAGATAATTTAAACCTAAACACATCTAAATATTTATCCTAATGCAAAACAGATGAACTCTGCTACATAATGATCATTAATGTCAACATGACGTCTTTATGCTCGATAAAAGTATTAAGAGTAAGAGAATTAAGGTTACCTCTTGACTAACCATCCCAGCATTCTTCTGTTGCAGCAGCTGCATGTTGATCTGTTCTTGCTGATTCTTAAAGACCTCTTGAATCTGTTGCTGCAGACATAATGTTGCGTTTATGCAAACAAAGGCTTTGTAATCAGCGCAGCATTAAGCAAACCCTTGACACGCTTTACCTGGTGTAACATGAGTGCCTTCTGCTGCTGGAGCAGCGCTTGGATCTGCTGAGGACTGAGAACCTGCTGCTGCTGCGGCGTCTGCTGCATCTGCTGCGGAGCCTCTGCTGGTGGGGTCATCACAGGCAGTGACACTGGAACCTTCAGCATGGACACAAAGAAACATTCATGAAGATATCTCATGACACGAGTCACTCTTTTGAGCTTAGATACACAAGTTTTGGGTGTCTGAAGTCTTTACCACTTATAAACTCTGGGACAACAAATCTATTGCACAGTTTTGAACCTCTTGGGTTTGAAAGCATCTAATTTAGTGAGCAACTTCAAATTGCATTTAATTAAAAAATAAAATCACTTCTCGAGCTTAATGTATTGACCTCCTGGTCGTGTTTCAGGTTCAGCATTTTAAAAACCTTGACCAGTTCAACATACGACTCTCACAATAACTTAATTCTTTGTAACATTGTTCAGACTGATTAGGGATGCACAATGTTGGATTTTTGGCCAATATCCAATATGTTCAAGCTTAGTTGGCTGATAACTGATACAATATATTTTTCCTAGACCTACTTACAGAGACTACCGGTACATTATTCTGAAATGTCTTTATCAGTTTAGCCTGCTACCAAATGCAGATGCCAAAAAGGGGCTGAAAATGATGTAACACTTCAACTTGGATTATGTTTAATGTCAAATTTATTCACGACATTTTCTCTTTCTAACACAATGACAACACTCGAACGGTGCATATTTGTAAATGTATGCGTATAACGTCATCACGTTGTGCTGGCGATGCAGGCATCCTGCAGGCTTGTCATACAAAAACTGCGCCTTTTATATCGGTGAGTTATTTTGATGGAATGGCCGACGTCCGATATTCAACTTTATCGCTAATATCGGCGGATAATGATACCATGCTGATAATATTGTGCATCCCTGAGACTGTTACCACCAAGTATCCTTGACTAAACTGCAGAAAAAGGAAATGTAAGTAACTGAGTGTGCTGTTGGGAAGAGTCAAGCTCTCTTCCTGGATTAGAATTTTAGTAATTTGTGTGTATATTAAGATGTTTTATGGTTTTACTACTGTCATAATTGAATCATTGTCGAGAAAAAATGCCTATTTGATAAAAAAAAAAACCATAAAACATCTTCACTGACATAGTGAAGTCAGATTTCTACAAAGTAATGTCAATTAAATAAAAATGTGTAATATCAAATACTGTAAGTGACTGCACAGGTTTCATTCCATTTACTTTATTTTTACAGGTTAGTCCTGTTCAGACACAATTGTCTTATGAGCAAGAGAGCCCCGTTATCCACAAAAGAAACAATGAAATTAATACAATCAATAAAAGACAGTATGAAATATACATTTAAATTGTTTAAACATAAGCTGCACTGACATAAAAGTAACGGTAATAATCAGAAAACTCAGAAACAGGAGCACATGTTTGATAATGAAGTGACTGTCTCAGTTCAACTCAGAGCAAAGTTTATTGAAACACACAACTGACAGGAGGGCTACAAAAGGATTTACAAGGCCTTTAAACATCCCCAGGATCTATGAAAAATGCAGGAAATATGGGACATGTGTAAATCTACCAAGAGCAGGCCGTCCTCACAAACTGAGTGGCCATGCACAAAGGAGAACAGTGAGAGACCACCGGACACCCGTGACTGCTTTGAAGGAGTTGTAACTTCAGCAGCTGAGATGGGAGAGATTGATTTATGAGCAACAAAACCATAAAACACTGAGGGGGTGAATACGTTTGGCTTTGTTTATGAAAACATATACCCCACAGAAAAAAAAGGAAAGGCTTGAATCAAGAATCCCTCAGAATCTCTCAATCCCCCCCCCCCCCCCCCCCGTATCAGAGGGCTTTGCTAGTGGAGACCTGCTGTATTGTGACCAAAACATTCTGTGTATCTCTTAATGAGCAACAGACATGAAGAGTGTGGCACTTTGGTTCTTCTGGGTGTGAATATGTCCTCTTCAAAGGGATAGTTCAACCTTTTAGAAGGACAGTTCTGTGGTAAAGTTATGAATATTTAATATTTTACTTGTTGTAAATGGTTCTTTGAATGACCTCAGTTCAGAAAAGTAGTTTGACAGAAGTGATTAGCTCATACAGTAAGACTGTAAACAGCCAGGACCAAACTGGCTGTTTCAAAAGAAATCCAGTCTTCAGAAATGGTTTCATATTTGTAATATTTTACATCTCTCTAAATTTATTGCATGCAATTCTGTAGTTAATTGCAAGTAGTGGCATTTCTGCTGCAGCTTGGGGTCAGAATAACCATGTTATGCTAAACTGACAGAGAAATAGTAGTTTATACAATAGCAATCCCATAAGAAGAAGATTGGAGTTTTTCTAAGATGCTATAATCATCTTTGGAACTGGGTCTGCTCGGACCAGAACGATGTGCTAATAATGACAGAAATATGAAAATCCAACCTGAAGTGACTGCAAGCTGCACGGAGCGCAACAGTTTGCTGCTGCTGCTATCTGCATATGCAAAACTGCAAGGAATGGTTCAAAACTGGTAATGTTGAAGAGGTGATGGTTCAAAAAACAGCATTAGCAAGAACTGCTCTTAAACTTTATTTAAAGACAACAGCAATCCCCTTTGGTATTACCGTAGTACTTGGCATTATCAGAACTTAGTTGTAGGCGTGTTTGCACAGAAAAGCAGGTGAACTGCAATTATGTTATTTTCGCTTTTTCCAGAATAATTTATAAATGTGGTCAAATGGTGAGGAACTCTTGAAAGAAAACAACAGAGCTCTTGTGCATGGAAGAGACAGCAGGGAGGCACCGGCATCTCTTTATGCGCCGTCTGTCAGAAGCAGCAGAATTATCTTTGTGTGTAAAGTTGCAGTGTGAATATGAAACATGTCTGGATGCAGTAAGGGAACTGCACAGAGATGGTCCAAGGGGGGGGGGGGGGGACTTTCTCAGAGTTCTGTGCTGCAGTGTCTCGTTAAAATGTCCATAGCAAAAAAAACAAAAAACTTGTAAATTGTGAGCAAGATTTATTTGCTTCCCACAAAGTATAAAACCAGTTTAATCTGTGGATGTTTAAAGAATTATCTACAACCAGTAATATATGAATTATTATTTACTTTTCCACCAAACCTCACTTCGTACTGGCTAAACCATCCATCCTCCACTCATTATCTTTTACTCGCTTCGGAGTCACTGGTGCCCATGTCCAGCCATCACTGAGCGAGAGGCAGGGGACACCCTGGACAAGTCCATCACAGGGACACATATAGAGACAAACAAGCATTCACTCTCTCACTCACACCTAGGGACAATGTAGAGATATCAATCAGCCTAACATGCATGTTTTCGGTCTGTGGGAGGAAACTGGAGTACCTGGAGAAAACCCACGCATGCACGGAGAGAACATGCAAACTCCACCCAGAAAGGCCCCTGGCTGGGATTTGAACTGGCGACCTGCTCGCTGAGAGGCAGCAGCTTTACCAACTGTGCCAGCGTGCCGTCCCCGTCTGAACTAGTTCTTTATAAATCAAATGTATGTGCATCACATTTATCAGTACATGCAAACACAACAGTGCACGTCAAAAATTGTCAGATATTTTTACAACATTCCACAAACCACAAGAGGATTTCAGGCGGGATTTTCAGTGTGACAGAAGTGTAACTCTGTTCCAAAATAATTTAACCCAAAGTTCAATTAAAACTAAAATAAATAAGTCCAAAAAAAGATCTCACATAAAACAGAATAATATTAGGGAATTTTAAGCATATGCACCTACATACTTCCCTGCTCTCACACTCCAGAGACTGTTTGGTGAGTTAAGGCTCCCACAGACTCGAGCGTACTTCAGTCCGCGGAGGTCAACCAGATTAGAGTCGAAGCGGACGCCCGCAGGGCATGTCTGCGCAAAGATCAATTTTTAGGACCGCGTAGGCGTACTCGGTTTCGCACAATAAACTGCCCGGCGACGGACTGTTTGTATGTGACACCAATGTATTAAATTCCCCTTCTTCATCTCTGATCTGGTTTAATGGCCTTTTCTTTTCTTTTTTTTCCAAGAGGCAAGTGATCTCTTCCTCTTCCGTGGACACCATGACTGAAATGGTGAGAAATGAAGGAATTTGTCATGAGCGAATTAAAATCAGGCCCAGCATGGCTGAGGGAGGGTCTGGAGGTTTCCTGGTGGGCCTGTCTGATGTGTGGGCTGCAGGGCCAGCGCTCCCTTTTTTTTTTTTAGAACTTTTCATTAACAACATATATGCAATCTCTCGTTTTTTTGTTGCGACCTGTCAATCAAGCCAGTAGGCGTGTCAGCAAATGACCATTCAGCGAACTCAATTAGTCCCGAAGGTAAACGCCCCTTGCCTGCGGAGCTGGTCTGCAGCCGCTCAGGGTGGATGGTCGAGTATGAAGTCTCAACCGTCTGCGGACAGAGCGCAGTTTCTGTACGGCTCACAGTCCGCCCGAGTCTGTGGAAGCCTTTAGACTACAGGTTAAAGCATTATTATTTATAAAATAAAAACCCTAGTCTAGTTATGTCACAGGTTGTTTCATGAGAAGTTTTTTCTTGTCGTTGCCACACTTACTCAATGGAAAATTGCTGGGTTACTTGCAATAATAGTGTCTTGACCCTAAAGATGACGTAAAGCCTTCAAAAATTATCCTGTTGTGAGTGGGTGAAACATAATTTTGAATGCACTTCTTTTCCTCATAAAATAAACTACAAATAACTTTCAAAATTAACAAGTTGACTGTTTTTCAATAACTTACGTATCAGTGAACGATGGAATGATATAACTATAATAACTTCTCACAACTCCAGCTGACATCGTCTACAACAAACAAGTTACATAGAACTGAGTCAGACCCCACAAACATTGCAGGTTTAAAATCAACTTATTTAGCAATTAAAACAACTACTTTGGTTTTACTGGTGCCAGTCTGTTGAACTGTCATTGTCGCTACAGTAGTATGATGCTCGGAGAAAAAAATAAAAAACTTATAATTAAAAAAAAAAAAAGGTACTGGTTATTATTTTTATTTTTTATTATCAGTTTCACAAACATAACTGACTCTGCTGTCATGTCAGCTAAAAGTAGAAGCTGAAAAACAAAAACAACAAAACACTGAACGGCTTGAGGGAATTCTAGCTTCAGCAAAACAACAACAACAAGTACGAGAAAAACAACAACAGCTTCTGCTGCACACACACACACACACCCCTCCCCCTCCTCCACTCACTGTCAGCTTCACAGCTCAAGAAATGTTTATGGTAAACATAAACAGAGAAATCAAAATGGCACAGAGACATAAATTATGAATAAAAAAAGCATACAGGGCTTGTTTACGAAAACGGAGCAAGAGATTCGTATTTTAATTAAGGTCTGAACCACAAACAAACATTTCTCTCTGAGGCAGAGTCTGTTTTGAACCGAGTAAACAAACTGACAGAGAATTTCACACAGGCTCTGGGCTAACAATAACAGTGGATTGCCTATTTTTTGTTGTTTTTATGAAACCCTGGGCTGCACAATGGCCACCAAAGCGATGAAAACGGGTCTATCCCTCACAGTTGCCCCCCCCCCCTGTTTTTCTGTGGACACCATCAACACAACAACAGCCTCTGCCTAATCCCCGTTGCTATAGCAGCCAGCAAGTCCAAACATCTTCTGTTGTTGTTATTGTTGAAAGTCATACCAGTGAGCAACTGAGTGTAAACACAGATCTGTTCCCGCAAGACTGGTCTTGTGAACTCTTGAGAGAGATGACTGGCAGCAAACTGAAATGCTGAAAACTTGCAGGAGACAAAAGTAATACGCCTCCATTACAAGAAATGATGCTTGATAATATGCAATCATCAAAATGGATCAACAAGGACTAACTTTTACAAAATCGCTAGCACTGACGGTGAGTTTATGTAAAATAAAAAGTAAAATTAATAAACCCTGCAACCAAAGGAATGCGACATCTCTCATGCAGGGACAACATGCAATTTAAACGAGTAAAGACAACAGCAATTCTGAATAGTCCCGCAAATAAAAAAATGTCAGACAACCTGATGGTCTTCATTAAAACGTTTCTCTGCAACGAAACGACAAATAAGGCTCAGCAACTGTAACAAAAATCTTACACAGCCTTCCAAACCCACATGATGTGAAACAAAACTAACAATATACCACTGATCCCTCCACCCAGCAGGAGCTGTGCTCCCCCCATCCGCTTTCTAAACCATGGCACCACATCCCCCAGTGCCTGAGTGAGAAACGGAGACAAGCCAATGGAGAAGACATATTTTCCATTTAAAAAGACCAAACAATGTATAGCTCAGTATCTGCTGCAGCGGTGAGTCACATGATTATTTACCGGTGATGTGCCAGAATCCTGACAGCAAACTTTGTGGTGCTTTACGTAACGGATGAGCAGAGCAGTCATTTAAATGCAACAGAACCACTCGCACGTTGGTCAAGGAAAAGCAGCTGTCATTTGAAATGAACACTGAACATGCTCCCAAATAAAGAACCAGAACTGCACTAAGCTAAAAAAAAAAAAAAAACTAATGTGAGAAACACAACTTGATTCACAGCAACAACTTACAATTATTACTTCAGTTCAATTCATTTTAGTTATATAGCACCAAGTCACAACAGATGTCGTCTCAGGGCACTGAAGAGAAACATTCACATATAAAAATAAGAAGTTAACACTATTAGGTCATATGTCAATTTACCAGCTCTCATTGTATTTTTTTAAGGTACATGAAAAATGCATATTTTGTTTTTATTCAAATCTAAACCTTGATGTGCTGAACAGACACATCTGGAGAGGACTAACCCTGGGTGCCTCTGCAGGAGGAGTCTGGCTACTCTTCAGTCGACTCTCATTCTCAGTAGGGTTTCTGCTCTCTGCCTGACTTGTTTGTGTGGTGTGGCCTGCTGGTTCTGACCGAGACTCATGCATCTGGACTTCACTGACCTGCAAAAACAAACAGAAACGGCATTAATAGAAAGCAGCTGAGGGGAGCACTAGAATATGACTTTTAGAAAACAGGGTGGTTGCTTCTAAAATGAATATTCCTTATTGAAAAGCTGCCACAGAATTAAGAAGTGCACAGTTATAGCTCTACTCACTAATACAAACATGCTCCTCTAGCAGGGAGAGAGGAAGATGTTAAGTCTATTTGTTGAATAACCAAGTGCTGCCATGACTACTGTAAACACAGGGGCCCTGGGTCCGTGTTTATGTGCAAACATATCTTCCTTCTGGAACAATTTACCATTAACCAGGTGGTGCGATAAACGGCTGTGGCAGGTAGTACAATGCACAAGTAGGCTTTTATGTATACAGCTTGGGAGTGTTTGCGTAAAAAGCTCAGCAGCATAAACAAAGGTAAATAAAGCAGGCAAACAAGTAGTGCAAGGAGAGGGAAAGCTACATAGGGAACCTGAATTAAAGCGGGCCACAAAGCCTCAATGAAAATGTCAGTATTTTCAGCACAGTCACATGCTGAGAATAATCTTTTAATCAAAACGATCTCATATGCCGGACTGAGGGCCAACAGTTAGAAAACATCAGATTAAACTGTATATACTAAGATCAAATCCCGACTAAAATAGTACCAACAAGTGGTGGAGATTAAACAACTGTTGAAAATGATGAATGATGACTGCGGAATTACAGGTTCTGTCTAGCTCCAGTAATTCAAGCATGAGACATCATTTATATGGTTGAAAAACTCCAGTAACTAAAACCTGTCTGTTAGACGCAGGCAGCTGCTGGTGAAGTCCCACTGTTTACTTTAGCTCTCGGGATCAGGATTAGTTTGGAAGACAAAGGGCAGAGTTTCCTGGAGACATTTTTGAACAAGCTGGTCATGAGAACATAAATGAAAACTGTGTTAACACTTATTGGTTTCATTATAAAGCAGAGCCTATCCAGCTGTTGTGTTATTTATAAAGTCTATGATGAATGGAAAGAGTACTTGTAAAAACACCTTAAAGCAATGCAGAAAACTTAGTTAATCCATGCAAATATAATCCGATCAAGTGTTACCTTGCATTCAATCAAACCTGTCCAAATATTTGTCAGTTTGTCATAAGTGAACTATTGCTTGATTCAGTGGACTGCTCATTCTCTAATAAGCATTAAAGGCACTGGATAGACGAACAGTGGATTTGGCCAAGTAACATTGACTGTTGTGATCTGTTGTTTTCTGCCTGAACTGCGTTTCCGGTGCAAATGGATTTTAATTTTTTTTAAATCACGCGTTCCATCTAAATCCGTGAAGTGCACCTCCTGACCCCTCCAACCCGCAACACCTGCAATGACGAAGCTAAACTTCTGAATGGACACTAATTGATTCTACATCAACTATCTTATAGCAGCCTTATTATGTTTAAGTTCCGGCGACGCGAGGTGACCCGATCCGATATCCGTTAACGCCACCGCAGTCTGAGATTTCCGTTGAGGACTTCAGCCATTAGCTTACATAAGCTACACAACCAGAATAAATAAATACATAAATAAATCTAAAGGGAAAGTATACAGACAATTTAGTCTCATATATCCATGTTAACGTCACAAAAAGACAGTATTTTTTTTAACTCCAAATACGGATAGAGTCCACGTTAACTGCAGCTACAACAAAGCTACTAGCAGTCCTGAAGCTAGCTCATTAGAAACGTCTCTCTTACCCCTCTCTGGACTCTCGGTGATAGTAAAATAATCTGTTGTTAAATTATATATTCGTTCAATAGGTGTCGGAGGACTGTTGAATTATTACTTACTCACAAAATTAAGAACGAGCGGACAGTCTTTGACTCTGGGTGGTGTCGCTACAAGATCCCTCGCTGCTTTGCCTTCCTCGGTATCAAGCTAGCCACAAGTTGCTAACAGAGGGCGTGGCTTAGGTAAAAGTAAACAATGGTGACGTCATGTTAACACGAGGACTGCTTCAGATCCGCCTGAAATTTGACGCAGTAACATCAGTAAAAGACCACCTATCTGTTACTGTTTAAATATAAAAACTGTCTTTTCTAAAAATAAAAATAAATAAAAAGTGTATGAGCAGTATGCAGAAATTATATTACATTTATTTTTTTTTGTTAGCGTTATAAGCATATTTAGTGATATTTAACATCGAAGCCAAAATAAAATGTACATTCACGAGCATGTATTTATTTATTTTTATTTTAACGCCACCAAACAAAACCAAAGTCACATGATTTAATTAAAACAAAGGAGAAATGCAGACAATCTAACATAAAATAAAGCAAACTCTTAAAAATGACAACAAAATCAAAAAAAGGCATTTCAGAAAACAACCTTTAAAAAAAAATGGTCACAGCAAATAAAACACACACACTCACAAACTGTGATAGCATTTCCAAACACACAAAATAAAATGGGCTTTCTAATACCATATGAGCTTATTTTATTTTTATTTTTTACCTAACAGACACTCGTACAAAAAGTTCAGCAATAGAAACTTTGAAATTCAACATTCAACTTCCTAATGTCCACTACATACAATGTTTTGTTACAAAACATCTTAGATAAAATTTTACAAAATATACTTTTCACAACTATAAAAAACCTTTAGGAATTCAGCATCATCTGCTGAGGATCCATAGTTCAAGACAAAAATCACACATTTTCTTTATCTCCTGATAATAAACTCATATAAACATATCATCTTATTTTATAATGTAATTCAAATGTACCCATACAATGATCCTGTTTGACATATTGGGTTTTTAGATGCTGACTATATTGCAGAACACAATGATGGTTAATATTAAAAACTGCAGATCTGTTTTAATAAACATTAAATGATCAAACTTTAAAATGAATTCCAGCCATGGTTTTTCCAAGGACATGAACACGTGTGCAAACACAAGAGGGAGACATTTTCTGTCTTAACTGCTCCTCCACAGCAGCAAAGCAAGGTGAGAACTATTCATTGAATACAATAAGTCTTTTCCAGGAGTGGTTAAGACATGTAGAGAGTACAGTCATACCAAGCCAGTTTACTCAAAGTGCCTTGGATTTTATCCTAAATAACCAAATTCATTAGAAATTGTTTTCCTAAAAATAGAATCATGACGTAAAGAAAAAATTACACAAAGCCTAAAGATTCATATAGATCATTTACAATGTACCTTTAGGTAAAAGGATTTCAAACAGCAATAATAAATATCTTTAAAAATTATTTTATTTATTTTTTCCATTTCCAACATGTATAAAACAAACAGAAACAGTTTCAACATGCAGAACAAAGAGGACTTCAACACTGTAATAAAGCCAGTACATGGACTACAAGGCCCCATCCAACATCAACAATCTGTTGCAAGATTTTAGATTTGAAATGAGCCGTCAGGAAAAAAAAAAAAACTGCAAGGAAACAGAAATATCCTTATACTTCACTGTGTGCCTTTTCCCAACAAATAAACAACCAAACTACATTTGGCACACAAACCAAGTCGGGACTAATTTATGTTTTGAAAAAATATTTTTCTTTTCCTGATGGAAATCAGACACAATGTTACAAAACATCCCCCCCCCCCCCCTTTTTTTCTTTTTGGTTCATATTTCCTTCTTGAAGCTAGTTTCGTCTTACTGCCCACAGAATAGGTGGGGGTGTCAAATAGTCAACACAGGTCACACAAAACCACATTGGTGTATAGAAGTTTTAGTTCCTACCAAGAGCAAGAAAAAGACAGCGGAACAAGAAAACAGACCAAAAAAAGTTGTACACTTTATGAAAACGTGACACAAAGCCAAAGAGCATTTGGTCTCAAGCATCACAACTTCATATAATTCTAGTGGAGCTATCAGATGTTCTTTAACCCCCACCCCACCCCACAACAAACACACAGTTTGATTTAAGGCAGAGGCATAAGCAAAATGATATCCACAGCAGAACTACCAGAAATCTACAAATCCACAAAGCAATGATTGCATTTCCTAGAATCAAGGTGTTTTGTGCATCGAGGTTATTTTGTTGTAAAAAGAAAACTCTCCTTTCACCTCTAACAAGAAATAATGTGCAATACTCTGCAAAGACACAAACCTTTCTGCTTACATAAGAGTTATTCATTATCCAGAACAACTAACTGTTACACGACTATTTTACACACACAAGCAAACATGAAAGAACCTGATTACCACAATTCATAATAAATTATTAGGACATAGATGTGCCTCATTGAGCATGGCTGTATCTTTAAACCAAAAATCAACATTTCCTTAAAAGATCTGTCCTCATTCAACTCCACAAAGTATGTTAGAGTGCATTTAACAAATGATTTGTTTTAATTTGATAAAACATTTAAGTATAAAAAAAAACCTTTAAACGTTTTTAAAATCAAACTGTAACAGTTTTTGCTTTCAGTAATAATAATAATAGGATTTTCTTGTTAAAGATGTTCTTTGAAAACGTGCATGCCACTTACGGAGTCACAATACTTGGGCTTGACTGAGGTAACTAACTCAACTGTGTTGTCATTTGCCCAAGTATTGGAGTACAAATACTATCTGCAAAGACGAATATTGTATAGTTCAAAACGTCCGATGTGCAAAATGTGTCAGTGTCTGCTTCGACCACCTTCAAAAGCATGGTGCTCCATATGAGCTGCAAGAAAAAGAAGCAAAAACAGAATTTAGGCAAAAAGAAAAAGTTTTACGTTATTGAGGTTTCACAATAAAATGCTACGAAAGAAAGAAAAAGATGCTCACGTTTATAAAACACAGCTTTAAATGGTGTCTGTGGAAGAAGCTCATAGATCTTTCCCAAGACGTTTGACTCGCTGGCACAGGAAGCGTTCCCGTTCCAAACCTGAACTACGTCTTCTCTGTCTCTTACACTGACGCTGACCCCGACAACCTCATCCTCTGTAAACACAATTTAACACAATTACATTATATTATTCCCAAATTTGATTAAATCCACGGGGTTAAGGAAAGAGCGCTCAGTTGGTGTCATCGTGCTTACGTAAGAAACCTTGGATATACAGCATTTGACCAGGATATGTTCTTTTTTTTACTCTTTTTTTATTTTAAAAACACAAGTGGGTACATCCTGTCACTGACCTATAGAGAAATGTTTTGTGTGTGTTACTTGTAGTTAGGGCTAAATTGGGTTTTGTGTCAATTCAAAAATATGATTTAACTGGGTCCTCGAGTACACAATTTCGTTCCACCTCATGTACCACCTGTGATGTGAATGACAATAAAGAACCTTGAAATCTCCACCATATTTTAAAGGCCTCATGGGTTTGAAACCCTGTAAATGTTATTTTTTCTATTAGAACAAATTATAGTTTAATGCTTATAATGAGTCAATTCAATGTAGACATTTAGGCCATAAAATATTTAGCCCAATTTTTGTGCTTTTTTTAGCTTTATCCTTGGTAAATTTCAATATGACAGCAGCATAAAAGGACCATTTCCCACTTAAAAAAAATATATATAATTATGTGGATATATTGCACACCTAAATGGAGAGATGTTACACTATTATTCCTCTATTCTGTCTGATTTATAGTCAGAAAGAGTTACACTCCAGTTTCAACTCTTTAAAAACTGAATTTAGCTTTCTTTCTGACCTTCACAGCTGACTGCTCTGTGTCTTTGAGTTGCAAGCTAACAGCTACTGGTGTCGTGCCACGTTGGACTGAACCAACTTGAAGCTGTGGGAGGAGGAGTGTAAAATGTAGTGATTATTTTCAAATATTTTTTTCAATTTATTAACACCATCAACCTCTTTCTGTTGAAAGTAATGAATCATTTTTAAGTGTAAAAATTCAATAGCAAAATCACAAGTTTGCACTTCCACTTACGACACTGGGGGAACAGCTGCTCCACTTGCTCCTTTACGCAGACGGTTTGTTTGAGGGTGGACACATTTTGCCTTAAAGCGAGCTTCCTTAACGTTCTATGCGTCCTTTTCCCCTCTTCTCAACCACCAATTGTTTGACGTAGATCACTACCCTGGTTTTGTTGGAGGTACTTTTCTGTCAAAAGGGAGTTCTTCTCCACGGTCACCTACAAATGTTCGCGGTTTTGATGCAATCCAATAAACTTTCTTAAAACTACACAGCTTTGACCAAATCAGTATTTTACAAATGTACAAAAGCTGACTGGAAAAAAATCCATATTGAAATAATTTAGTAATATTTCAGTATTCCAAACTGAACTGGCTCTGTATATAGTGTCAAAAATGGAAATATTGTTAGCTTTGGGAGCAATTAAATTTAATTCACCAGCAACAACAAAAAAAAAAAGACAAAAATAGTCATCTACCTGAGGCACAGTAATCACTGAACTGTTCTCCGATTGTAGCCAGCAGCAACTCTTTCCACACAGAAGACTGTAAAGTAAATGATACGATTGTTAAACAGAGAAAGCAGCAAAAACATGCATCATAAATACTCAGCAATGTTATCTCACTTACAGTGCATTCCTTGGGCACTTTCATTTTCCAAACACCACCTTTAGCATTGCTCTCTTCTTCCCTGTTTGCAAACAATCAGAAAAAAAATAGACACTACTTATTCCTCGAAATATAATTGAAACACACCTTATTCTGCAGAGACAACTAACCAAAGAGGCTTCCTTTCTCCCCTCATCAGGTGATAGCTGCATCTCATCGGTAAGCTGGAGACACTGGGTATGTTGTTGTAAACTCTCCAGAAGTTCTGCTCCAAGGTGAGGAGAGGAAACAGGTTATTTTGTTGAGCCTTTAACCAGTGCTGGTAATGTTTGGAATAAGCAACAATGGACACAACCACAGCCTGAGATTTGCCTTTTATCCCTAATCTCATTTATAAATAATGCAGACGGTACTGGAATACTAGCACAATGCAAATAACATGGGTTGCTATTAACTAGATTGGCTTGATGTGTTCAGACAGTAAAAGCATCATACCTGGACGGTTTCCACGGTGTAGATTTTCTTCAGGTTTGACTCACATTCAGCTGCTGTTGTCCCTGGCAGAGATCTGTCACCAGAAGAGACGCTTCATAAATACTTGGTGTTATTATTTATTTCTCTCTTTGTTTTTTCCATAGCCATATTTATTAGACAGATGAGTGCTACCCTCTGTGCAGACATTCTGGGGTGTGGGGATCAGATGACATATAAGCCAGTAAACAACACTGACCCCATTTGAACACAGCCCCCCTGCCCCCTGTGGTTTGCACTGTACACGTTGAGCATGTGACCACGATTACTCAATTTATTTAGTGATCTTTAAAATCATGGCTGTTACATTTATAACTTTCATTTCTTTGACGCACACAAGTTTGTTTTTAGGTAAATGGGCTGTACACCAACAACAAGAGACTCAGTTAAGTTTAAAACAATAGCAGGTGCTTATAAATCACTGGACTGATTTATAATGTTTTATCTGTGCTGACGTCAAAAGAATAAAATTATCAAAAGCTGTTACCTAACTAGACCTTTTCAAGTTTCATTTTCATTTCTAAGGAGACAGTTCAGATTAAATAGGCATATTCAGGACTGGTAAATTCATATTTTTTATCGTTTTGAGTTTACTTAACACCAGCAAGGGTTTCATAAGAAAACACAACGAACGTGTGTAAAAAATAAGCAATTATTTTCTTACCTATCGAGCCAGAAAGTCCAGGGTGAGTGTAAAGGCAGGATGTCATTTTCACTGGTGGGTGACATTCTTCCTAAATCTCCGCTCAGGCTGGACGGTGAGTTCAGTTGTATTGCAGCTACAGGAACTGCCATTGAATCTATATATTAACTCGCTAACGCCGATGTTCCCCAAAAGCTGTCCGGATTCAATATGTATCGGTTCGTTAGGTGATGTTAAAACTATTAGCCACTGACTCATAGGTGGTTTCACCGGTTAGTTCCGTCACATGAAGAAAAAAAAGAAAATGTTGACGTCCCTTGTTGTTCTATAGCGCACCAGAACTATCGCTTTATCACCAGAGCCCACATGTACCTTTACTTTTAAACATAACTACGGAAAGTATTAAGCAACACTCACTGACGACTTATTTTTAACCGCTTGTATATTAAACACCTTTGTTGATATTTGCTTCTTCCGCAAAGTTCATGACGTCATTGCAGACATGCGCAGTCGGGTCTGTCAGCAGCTTTGTGGAGGAGCTACGTGCTAGCTGCGCCGCTAATCAGCAAGCATTTCCTGCCAGGGACTGGACACAGCTATGGATATCGACTCCGTGCTGGAAGCGTTTCAAGGCAATGTTTACACTTATCCAAATTAATGATTTATTTTCTAGAGTTTGACGGTTTTGCGTTTGATTTTATTGTATTGGTTAAATCACTCATTTCGATAACTACGTTTCGCACGTTTACCGTCCGTATTTTAGCATACCAGCAACAACTAGCGTTAAAGAAAGCACTCATGAAACATTAGACCCTGCTTGACCTAACTAGTTTCAAGTTACATCTTGCAAAAAAAAAAAAAAAAACAGTCTGTTGCATTTGAAATGTTTCACTTTTTCTACTCCAGCTCACACTTGATGATTATGTAAACAGCTAGCTGAAACATAAAGCTAACAATGCACTGCTAACAGCAAATCAACTTTCCGTGCAGATGAGTGGCACTCTTAACACTTGTCTTGTTTTACTTAAATAAATACATTTTTCCCCACACAGCCGATTAAAATACTTTATATTTATTACACCATCGTAGACTTGGAGATGTGTTAGAAGTTGTACTTGAAATGAATGCTAATGTTGCAATTTGCAATATCTGATTGATCTAGGAAAGTTTTTTCCCTTTCTGTAGCAGATATCTTAACCAGTTTAATCATTACTATTAACAGTTTTTTTGTGTGACTTTAACAGATTTTGAGAAGAAGGGGAAAAAAGAAATCTGTCCTGTTTTAGAGCAGTTCTTGTGTCATGTTGCCAAGACGGGACAACCAGTGTGAGTAGTAAATTACAATAACTTCAGGCAAAATACTGGTTCTGCACTTGCAGTCTGCTTTGTGCTTCTTTAAAGAAGAGAAGCTTTTGTAATTTTATGCCCATGAATAATATACTTGCATGTTTAATGTCTTCTAGGATCTCGTGGTCACAGTTTAAAATATACTTCATGTTTAAGTTGGAAAAAGTCATGAACGACTTTCATGCTTCAACACCGGAACAGAGAGGACCACATAACTCCAATGTTGAGTATGTTCCCTTTGAAGAAATGAAAAAAAGGATCCTAAAGATTGTTGATGGTTACAATGGGTAAGTGGAGTAAAAAACACTGTTTTGAAGGCTTTTCAAATTGACAAAACGATTAGGTTACAACTTCACATGCACTTCCAAATAGCCTTGTAGGATTATTCCTGAAATACTGGATTTTTTAACCCCCCAAAAAAATTTTTTATAAAAATACATTAGCCTGAATCTTTGTGGGCTGCAGTGTACAGTTTTAGCAAACCAAAACCGTTTGGGAAATCTTTCAAAACTGAGATTATGTTTGTCTATAGCTTACAATTAAAGGCATCAAAACAAACAAACAAATAATAACTTGAACTGGTCTTTGTATTTTAGAATTACGGTTCGTCATAATTTTCTAGGTGAAACATTTTCACCAGAGTTTAGGAAATGATGCATTATGAATAACTATTTCCGTCATGCTTGAAAAAAGATGTGATTCTCTAACCCAGTGGTTCCCAACCCTGGTCCTCGAGGAACACTATCCTCCATGTTTTAGTTGTTTCCCTGCTCCAACACACCTGATTCAGTGATTGAATAACTTCATCAAGTTCCGTAGAAGCCTGTTAACCATCCATTCACTCAAAGCGGGTGTATCAAAGCAAACTACTAAACAACAACTAAAACATGCAGGATGGTGTTCCTCAGGGACCAGGGTTGGGAACCACTGCTCTAACCTGCTCTCACAATACAACATTTAACAGTAATGCTGGTCTGCTGTGCAAAATAAGCAGTTGTAATTATGAGTAAAACATTATACAGTACCGTAGTTACATTTTTTCTCCTCTTAGACACTGCTCAATTCTTGCTAAATGTTGGTGCTTGCATTGTGACAGTTTGCATGTTTGGTACCCCAAAGAATAAATAAAATAAAAATAAGGAGGTAGGAGAAAAGAAAACGTGACCATATCTTATTTATTTCAATTCCATTTATTTTGTGTATAAAACCAAAAATAATTGTTGTTTTTTTCTTCTTCTTTCGGCTGCTCCCTTCTTCAGAGGTCACCATAGCAAACAAAGTCTCACGAAGACTTAGCAATTGTTTTTACGCCAGATGCCCATCTGACGCAACCACAGACCGCCGAGCTACCACAGCCCTCTGTGGAGCAGAGAGCTGCTATCTATGGCACCCGGAGGAGCAGATGGTGGGGGGTTAAGGGTCTTGCTCAAGGGCCTGGAGTGGGGCAAATGAGGGTGGGGGCAGGTGTAGGTGCTTCATCTATCCCACTCACATTTTTACTGTTGTCGGTACCAGAAGTTGAACCGGCGATCTTCTGATCACAGGTCCACCTTCTCTAACCTCTGCGCCACCACTCCCATAAAACCAAAAAGAAATAAAAAATATAAATCCACTTCAAGCCAACATAGATCCAGTTTCAAATCCTGTTATTGGCACGTTATTGAAATTATAATACAATACATAAACACGATTAAATGTTAGCATTGGACCAAACAAGCCTCATTTCTGATTGCACGACACACACACAATCCCACATGCAAACATGCATAGCATCCATATTTTCTTCCTTAATCAAAGCGCGCTGCATGTGAAGTCGCATCATCTTCTGCGCATGCGGGTCACCTCAGAACTGTAAGCGGTTCACACTGGAGTTTGAGGGAGGTCACATTTCTTTGATAATGTGAATGAGCACGCTAAAAAAAATCAGACTTGAGCAAAAAACCCTGACTTGAGCAGTGTGAACATAGCCTTAGAAGGAGTTTATGGTAAATTACATTCTGACTTTTGCAGGCAGCCAATGGAGAGAAGCTAAAATTGTAGAAAAATTTTTTTTTTTTAAACTTTGTCTAAACTAATATACAGTTTTTCACAATCTAATAACTTTAAAAGTTCAAAGTTAAAGTACATGGTCAGCCTTACATTATGAGAGCAAGCAGATAAAGTTGATGTGCATAAAGTGCATTTTTCAGATACATATCACAAACTACTTCACAGTAAACTACAGTAAGATAAATACAGTGCAAATAAATAAATGATGATAGACATGTTGTCATCATTTGACACTGCTCTGTTGGTTTTACAAAATGGTACTATTACATATTGGAGATATGAATACAATCCTATTAAAATGTTGTTTTTTCTTTTTGGCTTGCAGCTCTGGCAGGATGTGCTGATGTTGATATTAAGAATATTTAGTGTTTTTAAAAGTAAATATCTGTAACTTTTTCCAGAACTCCATTCACCATCCAGCGTCTGTGTGAATTGCTTACGGATCCTAAGCGACATTATACAGGTACAGACAAGTTTCTCCGAGGTTTAGAAAAGGTGAGAAATTAATTCCCTCATTATATAAAAGTCTGTTCGCTTTTAATTATGTTTATTACTGTTTAATATTAATGCATAATACTGTTTGTTGTTGCAGAATGTAATGGTCGTCAGCTGTGTTTACCCCACAGAGTAAGTGCATCATCATTGACTAACTTTATGCTCTTTGCTATCCCAGCTTCAGTCTTCAAACTGAAGCGTATTATGAAAAGCTCTGGTAACAGGTATTTCCGTGCCTTTTTGCTTCTTTTAAAGCAAAAATGGAGCATCAAGCGTAAACAGAATGAATGGGGTGATGTTTCCGGGTAACTCCTCTCTCTATTCAGACAGGTGGGAGCACAGTTCTTATCAGTATTTGTAATGGACTGACACCTCTTTTACTACAATCAAAGACGGTCACAAAGTCTAAATGTAGTTTGACTTGTCAGGTTGAGTCAGGATTCTGCTGATTTGTCTCCTATCTTGTGGCATGACATTTTTAAAATGGTCATTTTTTTCTTGTGTAGTCGAAATGTGAACGGGCCAGGCACACCAAAAACACTCAACAGACCAAAGCTGCCAATGTCGACTTCACTACCCACTAATGGACTGCCTGACTGTCCAGTCAGCAAAGAGCCAGACCCAACTGCCGAGGTGGAGGAGCACCGTATGAGGTAAGTACAAGTGAGAGTGACACACCTAGTTAGTATAAACCTATGATAATAACCAATATTTGTTGTCAAGTCCAGGTGTTTCCTCTGTAAAGATCCATAATTCAGGACATACACAAGGACTAATACCTAGTGGAAATAATTGATTAATGTGTGATTAATGATAACGTGTTTTTGCCAGTGAAACTTTGCCATCAGAAGATGAGATAAAACCCAGATGTTCAATAAAAAACAAACGCCCAGAGAAAGAGGAGGACACCGACGACAACAGCCAAGAAGCCAAGAGGCTGAAGTTTGATGTAAAAGAAGAGGATGAACTAAAAAGTGAAGAAAATGAGTCGTCTTGTCATAAAGAACTAGAGAACAAGACACAGGAGTCATCCGAAGACTCCTGTGATGAGCAGTGCAAAAGTGACAAATCTTGTGACACACCTAGTGATACAGAGACTCCTGGTAAGTGTTCATACTCCGGCTGATGTGTATCTACTGCCAGAATAATCAAGTTCTTGTGCAAACAAGCAAATTAGTTTATAGAAAACCCATCTGGAAAACAATGCCAGAAACATTGATTACCTTCACCTTTTGAGTGAACATTTTGATTTTGTTTTTCAGACACTTAAACATTTACTAAATAGCCACAATGTTCAAACCACTAACAGGTGAAGTACCACAGTTCATCGTGTTAGAACATAATGTTCTGCTGAAAACCTGCATCCTGACATTTGCATAAATGTTTATTTGACTTTGGATACTCGTTTTTTATAGATTTTTATAGACATCTCACTCCCACACTTGACAAAAGAAGAACTTGACAAAAAGACTGAGGTAAAAGTTAACTTCTACACTCCCCCTGAAACCACTGTGATGGGATGTGATGCCGTCAGTGGGGAGCAGGGCTCCTCCATCGTGGGTTTTGTATGGCTTCTAAACTTGTGGCCAGTTTGGGGAAAATCCCTTGTTTTACTCCCACACTGACAACTGTTTCTTTCCATAACTGAGAGATGGAACACCAACACTTTATTTCTTATTTTAGCGCTCTTTATTTACAGTTTACCTATTTGAGATCATTTAAAACATGGTTGAAAGTGGGATCTGCTATGTGGGAGTACATCAATGACTGGCTATAAGTTATAGACTATTTGGAACTAACAATTGGCTACATTAACAATAATTAAACTGTGATAGCTCATTTATTTTTTAAATTTAATTTTTGAGGCTAAAAGTTTTCTTTTGAGTCTTTTAGTTAAATTGACTCCCCAATAGCTCATCTGCTCGTTTTTCATCACCTGCTCTGTTCTCAAGTCGATATTTACATGAGGAGGAAGGCATGACAAAACACATCTGGAAACATACTCTTGCTTGTTCATCTTTGAACTTTTCCATTAATAGTTTCTAATGAGGGGTGTATTACTAAAAGAGACTTAGACTTTACATCATGTCAGTTTATGAATGTCATCACAAACTGCCCGCCCACACCCCAGTTAAGGCTCAAATAAATTTTATATACAGTAGATCAGATGATTGTTTTCAAAGTAGCTCTTGTGATTAATTTTTTTTCTTTGAGTGCTTATGTCTTGGGCTTAGCCTAGGTCCAATTGAACCCTCCTGGTTAAAATGGAAAAAGCATCTGCTAGACCATGGGACAAATCTTGTACTGGGCTAATCTTTTGAGTTCATGGCAACACACTGGGGGTGAGCAAACCACTTTATTTAGGTGTAGGATGGCGTTAGGCATCTAGGAATGCAAAGCTAAAAAGAAAAACAAAACTGCTCCTTAATTAGCAAAATAAAAAAAATTATATATATATATATATATATATATATATATATATATATATATATAATCAGCTTTTCAAATATACAGAATTTTAATATATAACCTGTTAATATATAACCTGTAAAAAAATTACAAACAAGTTATATTCACATGAAAAATTCTGTTTGTTCTTCAATTTAAAATGTTAACAACCTCAACTATTATATAATTTTGTATAAATAGTTATTATAGACATACCACTTGACCATACAGAGTTCAAGGTTTCTAGAAAGTTAGGGTTTTTTTTTGTCCATTATTGGTTTGTAGCTTAATTTTGAAAAACATTTTTTCTCATTTCACCGAAGGTGACTGTCGTGGAGAAAAGGGATTCCCAAAACAACCAGGTGTAAGCTTCATCAGATTTATTACAAAGATCTGAACAGCAATCACAGAAGATCAGTGCATTTACAAGTTCACACTTATCAATGCTTTCACCTGTCTGACGCTCTGACCCGTTCTGACTTCCTGAACAGAAAAATCAGTTTTGTAAAAACTTCCAGCCCCTCCCCGCCCTGTCCAGCTTTATCAAAACCCAGCTGTAGTCAGAAGTGGGAGGAAATCTGGAAGACCAGCAGTTCTCAAGGGCACTCCAAGAAAGATGCCACTGTAATCGTATTGATCACCTTGAAGATGATAGAATTATCTCTTGCTGTCCCTTTACTGACTGATTACATGAAGACTGATTATTACATACGGTAAGGATCATGGAACATTTTAACAGTATTCACAATAACGGTAAAAGAGCAGTGACAATTATGGAGCATGGTGAGCGCAAATAATACACATTCCCGTGACAGCGACGTTCAAGCCCAAATCTGTATAAAGATCACAATTAAATTTTGAATCCCATTTCAATTATGATGAGAGTATTAATACAGAATGTTTCAAAAAACAACACGTGCAATCTTGTTGCAGTTTTCAGGAAAATGGTTTCAAACATCAACCACACAGATCAGCGTTCAGTCAGACATACTCCAGGCGATTTTAGTTTCCTATATAAATAGTGGTCTACTACTACAGTACAGGTGGAGTAAACTGAGCCAAGCTGACGTTTCATTAGTGGTTTAACATGATGCGATGTAAACATTGTTCACCTTACAGACATCACTTGTAGTAATTTTAACAATGGAAGGGAAAAAAAAGACCCAACAGGCCCAGCGTTGCTCATTTCAATAAATTCCAGTTGAAAATGCCAAATCACTTATTTCTTCATTAATTACGTGAATAACACGATCTAACAGGGGCTGCCATGTTGGAAATCTGAGCTTTTTGATTTGTTGTTGGTTGGTTCTCGCCAACAAGAACAGTTTCTGAACCAGTATTATTATTATTATTATTATTATTAGTGCTGCTATCTTTAGTCCATATTTAGAGCTAAGGTTTAATTAGGTTATTTTTAAGGCAAGAACTTTTTTGAAATTTGCCATTTGTGTTCTACAAAATAAAACCAAATTTAAATTGTTCTTCAATAGTTACTACGGAGAGATAAGATACCATTTTTGTCCCTCAGCTATGGCCCTCTAGATGCTGTCTGAATAGACAAGTAGTCCCCATGATTTAACTACAACTTCAGTCCGTTTTCCTGGTTCTCGTAATATTTAAATCTTATTGATAAGGATAATTTCATTACATTAGCACTATTAGTGTATTTACAACGCGCTGTTTTTGAAGGCATAAACATAGCTTTACAGGCCTTTAAAATAAGGTAGCCCAGGAGTAATTAGTTACAAAGACTATTCATAAACATTCTGTCACTGTTTTTTCCTCAGAGCAAAACGGCCTGCAAACTGAACCAGCCCAGAAGGAAGGAGACTCCGCTGAGAGTGTGGCTGCCCTCAGTGTCACCGGTGTCAGCTCTGAGGATCAGCCTGAGCAGCCGGATCCATCAGAGACGAACACAAGCTCTGAGCAGGACAATGAAGAGTGCACCAGCAGCAGCTGTGATGGAGCGAGCTCAACCAGAGATGGACAGGTTTCTTCTTCCAGTAATTCCCCAGACTTGCCCACAGAGGGTGGTGCTGACATTTCAGACAATGCTGAGACCTCGTTAGAGCTCGGGGAACACGACTAACCAGAAGCTCAGCATACTTTGACTTTTTTTTTTTTTATTACACTGTATGATACCAACCCAAGGGTATATCTGTAGCACTGTGGACCTTTAGGCATCAGGACCAAAAGTGACATGGGTTATGAGACTCCTTACAGAAGGATCTAAAGCTCTCTTCTGTTTCAGCTTCTCGTGGCTACTGGTCAGCTGGTCTTTAAACTGGAAGGAGATTATTTGAAAAAGATCATGGAGACTGCCTTTTTCACTATTAACAACAACAAAAAAAAGTTTTCTTTATTTCTATGTTTGAACTTATTTAATGTTGATAATGTGTCTTTGTATGTCATTTGTCATTTATTTCCAAGGAGATCCATTTGACAGAATTGTGTTTTAGCCTAAGCACAGTAGTTTTAATTTTTTTAAGGAAGCCATCTCGTTCTAGGTGAATGAGGTCATTGCAGATATGAAGCAAAACCTCATGGATGTCTGTGTTTTATATGAAGCACATACCATATATAAATATATATTTCTTACCTTGCACTTACTAGCATCCACCCCTTAAGACGTGCAAAAAGTTGTTTTGCTTTGTCACTGTAAGAAGCCAATTTAACACAGCTGTGCCAGTAGTGACCACTTTGGTTAGATGAGCATTAGTTTGGTCTAAAGGTAGCCATTTCTGCATCAAACTCTAAACGAAACACAAGGTACTTGTACTTTCTGTATGTCGTACCTTCGTTGTACAACTATCACTTTTGATAATTAGGATTTTTACAGTACACATCTGTAAATCAGTTTTTGTAGACTTGTGATACATGTCCACTGCCTGGAAATGGAAGGCTTGAGCGTGTACAATAGTATTCATGGAAAGCAATAAATGCTAAAATTTGATATGTTCAAGTGGTTTTAATCTGAGTTGTAAAACAGGTTATGCTCATGAGGTGGAGCAGCTGTGGGAAGGATTTGGTCAAACTTGAAATGTGACTTTTGAGGAACTGCCCTTGTCTGGCCAGTCTGAAAATGTTCTCTGAAACATGCGCAGTTATGGATGTAACTAAGTACAAGTACTTCGTTACTGTACTTAAGTACACTTTTCATGTATCTGTACTTTACTTAAGTAGAGTTAAACATGGGCACTTTTTACTTTTACTTCATTACATTTTAGATTAGGTATCTGTACTTTCTATTACACTACATTTCTATAATGCGTTGTGTTGCAAATTACATTCACGTTGCAACTTTTTAATTTGTTCATTAATTTGAAAGTAACCAATGGCGAGAGGGGAGTTGGTCCATTGAATCAATGCAAAATGGGCAGGTAACGTTAGACCCACCTTCAAGAAGAGCTATGTTCTAGTATATACATCACTGAGCTGGGTGCACCCACAGCACCGCTAACACACCCCAAATGAATTCCACCGAGGAAAGTCAGCCAGAAGATACAGTACGTGCCACCCATGGCCTTATTGAAAGACTATTGAAAGTCTGTAGAAAGACCATTGGAAAAACTATTGAAAGAAAGACTACTGAAAGATTATTCAGTACAGCAGGACAGATTCTGTCTCCCAAAAGAGCCAGACTGGACTTAAAAAACTTTGAAAACCAACTTCTTCTGAACTTGAACAAGAAATTCTTGCTGCAATATTAAAATGTGTCAGTTCATGATGTTAGAACAGGAGATGTCTCCAAATGACTTGACACTCGGGTCCAAGTTTTAAAAATGGTGTCAGGAAGTTAAAATATTGTTCAATATTGACCCATTACAAGGTTGAATAGACAGTATTTTATCTAGAGCTGATGACAAACTGGAGTTGAAATGATCGTTGCCTATTTCTTTGTTAGTCGTGTCTAATGCTCCTTTTTTCAGGCAGACAACTTTTACTTAAATGTGTTTACTGCAGTTAAAATGACACTTTGGTTTTAATTTGTGTTAAATAGAAACTTTCAAAAGTAAAATCATTCCTATTTCTTATTTTGCTTAATGACGTTTAACTCTGCAGGTCATCCCTGAAATTCTGACGCACAGAATCACAAGTCCAAGTGTGAACTGTGTCACAGAGTAAACACAATAAAAACGTATTATCTGCAGCATTGTTCATTAAAATGGAACAACACTATTAATGTATTACAGTAAATATACATACGGTACGCAGACTTAAAGATATGTAGACCATTGCATTATGTAATACATTCAGCAAGTATTTTTACTTTTAATACTTTAAGTATTTTAAAAGCAAGTCCTTATTTACTTTTACTTAAGTAAAAACGTTAATGTTGTACTTCTACTTTTACTAGAGTACATTTTTGTCTGTTTATTTGTACTTTTACTTAAGTACAGTGTTTGAGTACTTTCTCCACCACTGGCTAAATGGATGAAGAACATTACATCACTTGTTTTTGTTTGTCTTTACCCATTCTCTGCTGTAGGCTGTACTCTTAACAATATTGCTGACTTGCTGATTATATGCAGCAAACATGTTTACATGTTATTAATAGCCACACATTTGAATAACATTTTTAGTGTTCCTGCCTGATTAAAGGTTACTATTTACACGTGAGCGTAGTTGATGAGTACAGCTAAAAGGAACTGTTTTCGTCTTAAAATAACTAGTTTCAAAAATGTCATCATGCAAATGCTATTTTATAAATCTTTACATGGTTCCAGATTGTGTGGTTATCCCGACAGAAACTGGTATTCCTGTTCGAAATGCCCCACACTGTATCAGAAGTGCTACAGCTAGCTGCTGCTGCCATTAGTTTTTATAAAGAACTATAATTCTACGTTAACAATCACACTATGGAAAGTTAATGACGATGTTGAGGCTATTAAAACAGTGTTCGCATGAAAAGCTAAAAGTTTTTTTTTTTTTGTGGTAGGAGCTGCTTTAAGATGACAACAGTCCACTTTAGTCTTGGCCACTCTTCGACTAAAGTCTGGTCAGAATCAAACCATTTTTACCATAATCTAAAAAAGGCAAGATATTAATTACTCACAGAACCCCACTTAAAAATATATGAAATAAGTACTATACTCCAACAAAGTTAAGTCAGGTCCTCTGGACGGCTTCTATTTGTTGAAACGTTTCATCTTCCATCCAAAAGACTTCATCAGTCCAAGGAGCCACAACAAACTCTTCTAAGCAGCACACACATGGTGGTGATAAGATGGTGTCTGGAGTCCGCTCTCCCCCATCGACTCCTCTGAGGCAGTCCTAGCCAAAATGGTTCAAAACGTCCGAATAATGACTTGATGAAACGTTTCAACACAAAGAACCCGTCCAGATGATCTGCTGTTGTATTTTTTACCTGGATTGTTGAACTTTGCTGTTTTGAACCACTTTGGCCATGGCTGCCTCAGAGGAGTTGATGGGGGGAACTTTGATAAGGACTATACTGTTTTTAGTGCTTGTAAGAGTTTTCTTTCTTTAATAGACAAAAGGTAAACAAGCCTCGGGTACAGAAGAATATGTGCAAAATTATTTTCTTCTTTCGGTTGCTCTCTTAGGTCGCAACAGTGAGCTCATTCGCACGAAAGATTTGGCAATTGTTTTACGCCGATGCCCTTCCTTGAACCCACAACCACAAGATTACAAGTCCACAGCACTGACCACCAAGCTACCACAGCCCCCTATGCAAGATGATTAAGAAAAAAAGACAAACAAGTGGAATAAAATTATTAGTTGTGTAAGACCAGCGGAATGAATCATGTTAATCATGAGAGGATTAACATGGCCAGTGGCCTGGACACCTCTAAGCTAAGATTATCACTTTCCTTGCTGTCAGCACATTTCACAGCCAGGATAATGTAGGGCCAGCCCAAGCCATTAAACAACAACATTGTTGTTCCACTGAAAAAATCATTTTTTCAGAGTGTCTGGCAGAGCAATGATGCCTTTCAGTTTCATTACAAGTGAGGAAAACAGTTGCGGTCTGTTGGCAGACTGCAGCTGACCTGTAAACAATAATCAGGTCTGTTGGGGATAAATGACTGAGCTGAATCATCAGGCTGGTCAGAACTTCCTATTCTGGAAGGAGATTACACACGTTCCACTTTTACCATTGAGTAAGATGAAACAGATCTCATTATCCTATCAGGTAACAAACTTTTTATTGTAACACCTTATAAATGCTTTATGATGTTTGATGAATTATTGGTTGGAATGGTCCAAACTGGGCCACTTCCAAAGCAGATCGAAGTAAAAAAAAATAAATCTTAAAATTTCAAAAGGATATGTTTGAATATTATTACTTAAAAGTTTACATCACTGTCAATTTAGCTTTACAGTACATTGTTTGATTGGCCAAAATATGAAATTCCTGCCAGAAGTGACGCTGGTTACACTGGAAGTGCAACTGCTAAGTGCTGCCGCAGATGGTTATGCTTGTAAATAATAGAATTCTATGTAAATATCCAAACATTGCAAAACTGATAGCAGCATAAAGATTGGTGAAATTCAAGTCAAACGTTCGTAGCATTCCTGTCTGGTTGCATTAAAGGAATAGTTCAGATATTTTAAAGTGAGGTTTGGGAAATGCATGTCTTGGATACAGCTGTTGAATGACTGGAGAAATGGTTTATTTCTGACCTTTAACAGCTTACGGTTCAAAATCTTAAAAAAAATTAACTGGAGTTCATGCAAACTCTCCCACATATACTTTTACCTTTTGCATTACGTGATTATTCTGGATTACATTTTTTGACATTCTTAATGGAACTGACCCCAGGCTGCACCAAACTTCAACACTTTGATGCTGCTGCTATTTGCACAAGAAATAACTACAGAAATATATGTGTGGCAGTCTAAATGTCTATAAAACAGTCCAACAATGTTCAGTCAGGTCATCTGGACGGTTTCTTTTTATTGCTGAGACGTTTCGTCCTTCATCCAAAGGACTTCGTCAGTCCGAGGATGGCCACCAAGAAACTGAGTCCCACAAGCAACGCACTCACATAGTGGAAAAAAAAAAAAACAGTTTACTGGTGATAAGATGGTTTCTGGGACCTGCCCTCTCCCCTATCAACACCTCTGAGGTAGCCACACAAAAATTGTGCAAAACACCAACAGCTCATGCGCAATAATCCAGGTAAAAATCCAACAATGTTCAATCAGGTCATCTGGATGGTTTCTTTTTTTGCACTGTCCAGATGACCTGACGTTGGATTTTTACCTGGATTATTGAGCATGAACTTTCATCTATAAAATTGTGTTTGCAACAAAAAAAAAAACTAATGATTTTTTTTAGATTGGAGCTGCTTTAATGACGTAGTAATGACTACTTTGACCACAGCTGGGTTCAGTAAGAGAGCTCTACAACATGAAAGAGACTAAAAGGTTATAGCCTTTCCACAGAACTTTGCTTTAAAAATGGCCTTGTAGATGCAGCATCATGTAGATCTGCATTTCCAGTGGTGCCTGAGAGTCATTTTAAGGAGGCAGCAGCTACAAAGCTTACAAACGGTGCAGGGAGCAGTCTTGATTTGTGTGCTGCAACCCAGAGAAAAGCCCTTTGTCATCTTTATACGAACTAATTGAGTTTGACAAGTCTTCATTTCTAATCCGTTATCATGTGATCCACAGAAATCTGAGTCTCATCCTCACTTTCAGATGGGATTTGTTGCAACACAGAGAGAACCTAACGACACTTCTCCTTGTACTGACTTATTATTTTGGTTTTTGTTGATTAGTATAAGCTCCTTGGAGGAATGAGCCTTCGTGATCATGCTCTACGAGTTATGGGTTTTGTTTAGTAAAGGTTTAAGGTAAAGTTCTCTTCAACTGGTTAGTGTAATGTAAGAGATCATTTCAGTGTTAGGTGAGCCGAAGAAAACCTTCCCATCATGGGTCAGCGCCTGAGCGAGGACAGTGACCCGGACAAGGAGATCGATGTGGCCGAGCTGCAGGAATGGTACAAAAAATTTGTTGTGGAGTGTCCGAGTGGAACGCTGTTCATGCACGAGTTCAAGAGTTTTTTTGGTGTCACTCATAACAAGGAGGCCGCAGATTACATCGAGAACATGTTTCGAGCCTTTGACAAGAACGGCGTAAGTACCGAAGTTCAAGGGTTCAATTAAATCCAACCATTTTTAATCATCGTTATTTGAGAGGCAGAAGTTCAACCACTGATATCGTAGCTCAAGTACACATCTTAAAGTTTCAGCCTCTGAATGTTTGCTCTGCTTGATTTAGCCAGTTGAGAAGTAGGATTGACATAAATTCAGATTTTCTGAACAATAAAGATTTATAAAGATAATATTTTCCAAATGAATGTATTTTGTTTAGCTTGCTGCTATATAGAAATGTCTTGGTGACAAATGCTCGCTGAACTCTTCCTGTTTGTTTTCAGGACAACACCATTGATTTTCTGGAGTACGTGGCAGCGTTGAACTTAGTCCTGAGAGGAAAACTGGAGCATAAACTTAAATGGACGTTCAAAATGTACGACAAAGATGGGAGTGGATGCATCGATAAAACAGAACTTCTTGAAATTGTTGAGGTAATGTGTCCTCATATTGTAGCACTCACTCACATTGATCGTATGTATTGTTTTATAAGGTTTACAATACTTTCAAACAAATCCTCAGACTTTTATAATAAAAACAGACTGTGCAGGAGTCAGGTTAAAAATAGTTTCTTTTTCAGTCCATTTACCGGCTAAAGAAAGCCTGCCATGGAGAGCTGGATGACGAATGTAACCTGCTGACTCCAGACCAAGTGGTTGAGCGGATATTTGAGTTGGTCGATGAAAACGGAGATGGTAAGAGTTTCTGAGAGCTTCTGCAGACTTTTACAAGTTTTGGTTGGTGTTGTCAAGTAAAATGGATATGGGACGTTCTGAGAAGAAAAAAAATGAAACGGGAAGACAGATTTTGGAGTCAACTCTTAGTTAAATTAAGAAATGTAGGCGTGTCTGAATAGAATAACTGTCCTTTGGCACGTAGGTGAGCTCTCACTGGATGAGTTCATAGACGGAGCACGAAGAGACAAGTGGGTGATGAAGATGCTGCAGATGGACGTGAACCCTGGGGATTGGCTCAACGAGCGAAGACGCAGCGCTGACTTCTAAGACTGACTCGTTCAAAGGATGTGTGATTGTTCACCTAATGAATTGTACATTGATGTATATAAAAGTCACACTGCCATTGCACGATATGTTTCCATGGCAGTGTTATACTTGAGTATACTATGAGTTTGGAGAAGTTGCCTATATAAAAGTTATGAAGCTTAGCAACATTACTCTTCATCCTATTCATTGCTTGCTATGTTATTGTTGGTTTGTTTCTGTATTTTACACATGCAATAGTTATAAAGCATTTACTGTATTTTGTTTGTTTGTTTTGGTCTTTTAAACATGCTTATTAACTCATTAGGATTTTGGCGGGATAGATGAATAGATAATTGATTAATTGACTGATTGAGCAACAGATTGAAAACACTCCCAGGGCTTTGAGGAACTAAAACAAAAATAAAAAGATTATTGGGATAAAATAGCAGGATTACATTATGAAGAAGTAACAGCTATTGAATCAAACTGTGGCT